ACATCAGCTTCTGCTGATTCAACATCTCAGCTACTTGCGCCGCTGAAATAGAATCTTCTTCAGCCTCAACATCCTCGCTCGCTTCTGGTTTATTAGCTCTTTTCCCTCTTGGAGGCATTTTAATAGTTGTAGAATTTGTTCAAAGACTTGACAATGTAGAAAGATCATGTCTAAAACAGAGAGGTGTAACCCTTGATAAAAGCCGTGGTTGGAAAAGGCTCGTTCTGACCACAGAATTAATTTATCCATTTTAAATTTGCTGTCTATTGTATATTGTGAATTGCAGTCGCCATGCCACAGAGGAATTCCCCCTGCAGTTTCTCCTGAGCTGTTTTGTTTAATAGCTTTGTTCTTCACTTGACCTTTGAGTATTTAGGCTTTTCTTAATCAAAATTAGGAATTTCTTGTTGAATATTCAGTATCGGATCATTTTTCCAAATGAGAGTCTTCTTCTGGACATATGCATGAAGATGCTACTAGCTGTTTAGCTGTCATGCTGTTGTTTGCATCATACTACGTTTATTATCTCAAATGTTTCTCTGAAGTTAAATGCAAGCATTTCTATTACTGTGTTTGAGTGTGCTTAGCAGGCTGATGAGCATTCTTGACTAGAATAAAAAAGCACATTGGTAGCGTTGAGTGTGGATCGTGGTGTTTTTGCGCACAGGTTAAGTAGAGTACGTTCTGTGTCCTGCTGCCTTTGTTGGTTCTGCTGTTCAGAGGGCCCCGAGCATGACTATGACCTGGATGTTCAGACTGGAATGTGTAAAAAACCCAGCCCTTTCCATTCATTTCTATGGGTGATTGCGTTCAGCAGAATTCCAGATATCAATATTTACATTTCGCCAATGATCTCTGCGCTACCTTTGTTGGTTCTGCTGTTCAGAGGACCCTGAGCATGACTACGACCTGGATGTTCAGACTGGAATGTGTAAAAAACCCAGCCCTTTCCATTCATTTCTATGGGTGATTGCGTTCAGCAGAATTCCAGATATCTATATTTACATTTCGCCAATGATCTCTGTTGTTGTAAATCAATGCACACTAGTCAAAATTCAAATTATTAATATATTTAGTGTAATTTTGCATACAATTGTGAAGGTGTACACTAATAAAGTGGTCGGTCAGTGTGTATATTGTTCCATACAAAAATCCATTTCTTGCCTGAAATAGAACACAAATAAAAAAGTTATTGGTGGGGCTGTAGGACTTGTCAACAGAGGATTTGAAAGCTTGTTTTTACTGTATGTGGTTTTGGCAGTGATAGCATTACTAATAATTTTTTTTAAATTAATGATCACAGGGCTATAGTTGTTGGTAGTAGTGACAAACCCATGGACAGCTCTGCACTTTCTCTTCAGCTTGACAGTGTCTTCCCTTTTTTACAGCCTGTCACTTTGCTTTAATTCACTATCACTCTCATTAACAGTTTCTAGTGCAGCAGACAGCTGATCTCAATAAAAAATGCTCAGATAAATGCACTGTACGCTACATGCCCGGCACCAAATAGCAGACAGACGTGGGTGAAGTTAATGAGCCAGAAATCTTCCTCAGGAGTTAGTGGAGGCTAAAACTGAACTAAAAGGAGAGTGAATTTTGGACTTTATTCAATCAGGTGAGCAGAAAAAAATAACTCCAAATAAATTCTAATCTTGTTCCATAGTGCACCATACTGATTTAAAAGGCTAATACAGTATGTCATTTTTGTGTCCACAGCTTCTTTGCTCTTCCCCCAAATGGCCAAAAAACCCATTAGTTATTACAGGTGAATGATTGAATATTTTTTGTGTAATTACAGTTGCACATAATTAACTATGCATAGTTGTAGTCAACAATGTTAAGATTTAAATGTATATTTTTGTAAATGTGGGCCTGAATTCCACACCTTAGACACACACTGCCATGTATTTTATGATTCTTTGCCTGGATAAAGTGTGTGTTAACTGGTTTTCCAATTGTGCGTACATGCCTCTCACTATCCTCTTGAGAAGAAAATATCTGTGTGCTGTTGTCCTTTTCTGAACTCGACAGTAGAAACACACTTTTACAACCCCCTGCTGGGCAGTAATTTATAAACAAATTAGCAGTAAAAAAAAATGACAGCGTCTTCCCTTTTTTACAGCCTGTCACTTTGCTTGATAAACAATGATGTGCGGAATAATGATCACTGCTCCGCCAAAGCTCTCGTTAAAGTTTCATTCTTGCTGTCTGATTAGTAAGGTAATTAAATGTGCCACTGAATTTAAGAATATTAAGTTTTTTTTGTGTTTGGATGTGGTGGAAGAAACAACAAACAGAATATGGTAATGTAGGTTTGGGGGGGTGGGGAGGGAGAGGAGAGGAACAGCATGGAGAATGAGGAATACTCAACTAGATTAAATCGGTTCCTTGATTCAGCTTTTTAACAATGAACAAGGAAAGACTATGATGCTAAGCTCTTGATATTACAGCCACATGAACACAACGGAGATAGAGTGTGAATACCGCGTTGTGTATAGAGGGAAATATCACCAAGCGAGTAGCAAAGCAAGCGTGCAGTAGACTAGTAATAAAACTGTCACGGACACAGATGCTGAACAAAGAGATACTAAAAGCCACGGAGACAGAAGAGAGGAGGTGCTCACAGTCTGAACAGAGAGAGGCACTAAACGTCTTTGTCAGCGGATAGAGACGAAAGACAGAGGAGATGATAACCTGGCTTTAAAGAACTTCAGTAACACACTCAACTGAACTGGCACTGGGCACAATGCAGCAGCCACAGGTGTGTGCATACTGTACCTGGCTGTGTGCAACTGCTAGTGTGGATACTCAAATCTGATCCTGACGAGACCCCTTGGTATCCAAGGGACAGGCTTGGGTCAGGTTTGGACATTATATACTATGAGCTTGTTGGGTTTGGACAGCACACGCTCAGGCACGGTCAGGTTCGGACGGAAATATGCGACCTGGTCCATGTTCTAACAGCTGCTAACAACCCTCAAACAGTCCTACCTGGCTGGGCAAGCTGATGTGTCTCTTGGCAGTTGTTATCTTGCGGTTTTGGTCACTTTGGAGCTAATGCGATTAAAAAGTGAAACATCAGCCTTTGCCTGGAGCCTCACGCTGCCATTGTGTGAGTGCACTTAGGAAAAAGACAAGAGGGAAAGTGACTCAGTCTTTACTCAGAGCTAGTTGTTCCATTGACTCCAGCCTTATTAAAGCCCCTGTTGTGAGGGTGATTAGTGCTACTCACATTATCGAACGTATTGTCTGTTGCCCCACTGCTGCCACTCTCTCTATTTTTTCTTTTTTTTTTTATTAGTGAAAGCCTCTTGGCTTGTTCTGATGGAGAGCCCAGAGGAAACGCTGTCCTCTTTGATGATGTTCTGTCCTGACAGATGAACAGATTTGCACTCATGCTAACACACTCGCAGACCGCCACAGATTGCTCAGGAGCCCCTCGGCGGCTGCAGGCAAATAGCTTTCCTTCGCCTTTGCCTTTTCATTCTTTGTCTTTCCTTTTTTCTTCCACTTCTTCTTTCTCTTATGTTTTCCCTGTGCTCTTTTCACTTGGCCTCTTATTCCTCAGACCACCTGCTGCTGTTGATTTTTTCTTCTGTGGCAAAACATTTTAGAAAAACAAAGCACTACACAAGTTTGTATGCAACTGTGAACTCAGTGTGTGTGTGTGTGTGTGTCTGCTCTCACTGCCTCACTTCATTTCTGTCTCTCTCTGTTGTCCTTTTTTCACAGTCCTTCTTCGTTTTGTCTTTTTTATGTCAGAGCTGACAAATTTCTAAAATGTATGCTCAGTAGCAGTCTATGAAATCCTCTCCTTTTTTTTCAGGGACTGTATCTTTGGTGATAAGTCTGCAGATTGCGATGCTTTTTTTTTTGCACAGCTGTTTTCAGATATTACTTTCTTGCAACCAAACAGCCTCCAGTGCTGGTTGTCTTCATCCTTTGATTTTTCTGGTAATGGAATTAGGGTGTCTGTCAGTATTGTCTTATCTTTTTCAGACATGGTGGATATTGATGTTTACTGTACTGTATGTGAACAACTTAGATCTTTTGTGTTTAGTTTTTTTTTTTTCTCTCAAACAACTTAACTGATGCCAGAAACTTTAAACCAAAGTATATTTTATGGCGTGAAGATGTACAAAGTCTCATAGCAAGTGTTCACAGCAACAGATAAAAAAGGGTTGTACTTGGAATAGGCAGTATTATTGTTGTGTGTATTTATTGGTATGAGAACCTTAAGGATTGTTACATGTGAAATTGTCAAATACATTAAATTACCCCCTGTTGTTTTTTTCTTGTATTCCTCTTCCTTTCCTTCCTTCTCCTCTTCCAGGCTTTCCACCAAGGATATTGAATCCCGGAGTGAGTCCCTTGGTCTGTTTGACATTTTGAAGTGTAACCCTCAGGCCTTCTACAGTCACATGACCAAGTATGTCCTGCCCACTGTGGAGGGAACCGACCTGGGCCGCCTGTTCTACTACTACACCTTACTAGACGCTGCAGGCTGTGAACCTTATGTCACCGCCATCATCAAGCCAGACTCCCATGTCAAATTGCTCAAAAAGCTTCGAGCTGTTGCTAGTGGTGAGAAACAGTTTTGTTTTCATTTCTCCTTCATTCTAATGCAGATGGTGCTACATCTGCATAAGTAGATTGTGGTTTACAGGAAGGACAAAAGACGCAAGGTATAATGTAATAACAATGTAATCCTAACTAATGGATGCAGTTTGCATCTAACATCTGATTCAGTCAGTGCTGAATACAGCAGTAATAAAACAGCAAGTTAATGAAATCAGTATGTCAAATCTATTTGGCTCTGCCTTCTCCTAGGATATCATGTCCAGGTAGCAGCATTGCACCAGTTCAGTGCAAATGCAATTATTTTTTTTTTTATTTATGAAAATGCAAACCTTTTTTGTGTCAGCTTATATGTCTCTCATCTCTACTGTATTACACCTTGTCTTTTGACCTTGTTCATCTGTTTCTCCACTGGCTATCATGTAGAGGTTTCCAAAATTGAAAAGTAACAGGGTTGAAAGACACATTTACATTTGCTTATAAACAACAAGGAAACCGATGCACCTCTGCATTAGCTGTTTTCATTCTTATTTCCGTGGCTGCGCCTTCGCCAAGGACATTATGTCCAGGTTGCAGTATTCACCGGTTCAGTGCTCCAGCTAGAGTGCTCAAACTTTGTTGTGTATGGGTGAAAGTTGTGTCACTTCTCGGTGCGGTTCAGTAAAGGTCAGCCAGGTGTCAGCTGTTTTCACGCCTCACTTCCTCCTCCTGCTGTTTAGAACGGCACAGCTTTTACTGGTGACACATGTCTCTGTTCACATACACACACATACACAAATCACTTACACCTTTGAGTCATCCACATGAAGACTGCATTTTTACACAGATTTACTGAAACACACTTGAAGCAAAAACTTCCACTACTACATTTTATTTTGACTCGTACACAGTGACTGTGTGACATCACTGCAACTGTTGCTAAACCCCCCAGTCTTTAGTTACTGCTGCTTTTTGTATCACACTCATGCAGTTTACAATACAATACTGTTATATCTCAAGTTTTTGAAATATTTATTTCAGAAAGCAGTAGAAAAAAGCAAGCCCCTTGTGGGAAACCTGTGATGTGTGATACTGGGCTATACTGTACAGATAAAACCTGACCTGACTTTTCATTTTTGGTAACTTTTGCTAGCATCATGGGGGAAATACTACAGTGGATATGGTAGTTGTGAACAAGGCTTTCTTTGAACATGACCTGAAACCACACAAACTGATGTTATTAGTTATGTTTTATTACACCTTGGAAATAAAGCTTGGTGGCTACATCAAGTAGTAAGTTAGTTGACCACCCTCCAAACTTTTTAAATACCGAGTCTCATGGAACTGTGCCACATGCACGGTAGTCATGTGGAGAAATTCAAAGCTGCGCCAAGTTATTTTAGCAAAGCTGCAATTGAATATTTGCTGTTCTGAAGAGGGATTTAGCAAACTAACAACTGCACGGCTACAGCAACACAAATGCTAACAGATACACATTAACACTCACACAATGTACATACGCATGCACACTCATTGACTGGCACATATACAGAGTTTGTGACATTAACACTTACAAGCTCACACTCTCTGCAGTACACTAATCACGCAGTGTTGAAAAGTAACCCACACTTTCACACTTATGTTGCAGAATCGACAAACAGGCTGTTGCGGTGTCTCCAGGACCACCAATTTTCTACACTATTAAATTCTGAGATACAAACACACCCAGAATTATTATGTATTTGCAGTCTTAAAAAAGCACATGCAAGCTAACACACACAGGCCCACTTACAGTGGCACACAGGCGCACAGCTGATGGAGGCAGGTGGTGTGTGTCCAATGTTCATCACAGTTGCAGACACAGTACCAGGTGACTGTCTGATAGGTCTCTCATGAGGAAGGGGATGAGATACTGCTTGGGTGTGGGAGAGACAGAAGCAGAGAGAGTGGAGTTTGTGGGGAAGGCAAGAGACAGTGTACATGTGTACTACTGTCTGAAAATACTGAGAGTGTGTGTGTATGAGGGGTTCCAAGCAACATGGATAGAGTCCTCCCCACAGGCAGACCGATGTTAAATATTTAAAGCCCAGACATGCTGTGGTGTTGCCACAGTAATGTGTCTGTCAGAAATTGCTTGTGACCAAGAGTCACGCCACCAGCTCTCTCCCACATACACGCACACACAGCACTCCAGTGGCAGGAGATGTGATGCACGCAGACAGATGGACCGACAAACTGTATACCCTTTGTATGTACACAAAGACTTTCACACACAGGTCACACGATCTTTGTTGTTCATATCATCCTTTCAGTCTCTCTTTTGCAATTCTCTCTATGCTTTTCTGACACATACATGTAATGGAATATTGAACATCCTGTGCATTTCAAATCACTATTATTATCCTAGAGAAGAAGTGCTGCCTGTATATATGGTAGTATAGTATGAGCTGTACAGTGCCTTCACGTGGGCCTGTCTTGTAATTTAAAGTGTTGGATATGCTGTAATGATTACAATGACAGGTCTCTCACACAATGCTGCTATTATATTATATTCTGCCTTGGCTATATGCAAGTAAATATCTATGCTAACACTTGTGTTCATGTCTCTGCAATCTAAAAAATAGGTCTAAAATGTATTATGTGGCATGATCAAGAATGTTTTTTTCCACCACAAGGTAAAGATAAACATAAAATCTAGCCTGCCATCCCGGCAATATTACATTGTTGATCTTTTTTAGTAATTTCCCTTCCCCAAAGCTACCCTAGCGAGAAATCTAGTTTGGTTTTAAAGCTACTTAGAAAGAAAATATAATACTACTGTACATCCAAGCAATTGCAGAAGGTAGTCAGACAACTAGTTTAATGACATGCAGTTCACTGCTCCCCAATACTGGTGCAAAGCGTTTAGCGTTAAAAACATATGCATATGTTAGGATGCACTTCATGCTTAACAAAAGTGTTTTTATTTCAGGCTTAGACTACAGAAAGCTAACTGATGAATCCTTGGATCCGCTGTCCATTCTACAACCAGTTCTGACCAGTCAGAACGTACTGTCCGTCTCCAAACTCGCCGATCGGCTGCCTGTGCCAGGTGGGGGAGGGGCAACAATCTCCCCCAGTGCAGTCCATGCAGTTTGGCTGCAGAAACTTTTCTGGAAAGGAGACCTCCAACTGTTAAAAAGAGCCCCACAGAGTGACCAAGACTACCTCCATGCTTACGATACCTGTGCCAAATACCTGGACAGGCTGGTCCCTACTGACGCTGTCTACTTCCTGGATAGTATCACCTTCTCGCCTGATTCTACCAAACATGTAAGCCTGAACTCTGCCAAAGAACTGTGTTGTTTAGTTTTTTTTCCATATGGATTAGTGTATGCCAGACAAAAAACAGCAAAGAGTAGTATGATACAGTACAGTGAGAAGGAGGCTATATTTCCAAACAGAACTGGTGGGAGTTGGGCAGTTCGACAGTTTGTAGTTGCAGCACAGAAGGTTGTCTGTACCAGGCAGCCACCCAGACAGGATTCATATAGTTTAAAAAGAAGGATAGTGGGGATTTTCAATCACTACATCAAACTGTCATATTCCTCACTCTGTGTGCTTTATTTTCTAGCCGGTCGTTTCTTATGCTTCTGGCTCAGTTTTTGGAATGTCTTTCCTAATTTTAAATATATTATTCTGTTCACATCCACATTTGCCTCAAAGCATATACCAGTCATGATTTATAAAAGAAATTATAAAATTGCTGAGAAATGTCAGCCACATAATTACAGCACTCTGAAAAATTGTCCTGCAGAGGACTTAAAGTGCCTCGGCTCACCTTATCAATAGTAGCCCGCTGTTTTTTTTTTATTATTATTATTTTAATACTGGCACCATGCCACCCCACCTCTCCAGACCTTCCATTTTCTTCCATTTTTGTCTTATGCCCCCTCTCTTACCCTGAAACTCTGAGAGAGTTAATTGATCTCTCTCCACTTCAGAGCCAATTAAACACCAATTCCCAGCAGACACTGCTTTCCCGCTGTGCTTTTTAACATGCAGATTACCTCTCAGGAACACACTGCCTGCTCCCTCTCCCCTCACTCTTCTTCTCTTCCCTTTTTTTTGAACCCTCCAACAAGCACATCTGACCTTTTACACCGTTGCTGCCTCCCACAATAGATTGATCAATTTCCCACAAGGCCAAGGGGCAAGATGGATGGCAGGGAGTTGTCTCTCCTCCTACTGGATTTATCGAAGTGAAACAGGAAGTGTTGGCATTTTTCCCCCCTTCTAAAGCATTGATCCTTTTTAGTAGAAACATCCTCCCTTCCATGACCTCCAACCTGCTTTCAAACCTTGCCCAAGGCTTTAACTGACGTTGGCTGTGAATGCCCATATCTAGTTCTGTAGATGAGAGACCCGCTCATACATAAGACAGCAGACTACATACACACGCACACGCATGCATTTACAAACTCAGCTTTCAAAGAAATTGTACAGCTTTGCCAGGAATCTGTATTTGAGCGATCATTCTGTTCTGGCAGAGAAAAGTGTCATCAGTCTGAGTGAAGATGCACAGAAGTATGAGTAGCATGTGTCTGAGTGTGTGGCTGAGGTAGCTGGAGTTGTGAAGTTGGATAGGTTTTGAATGTCTTGGTGTGAATATGTGTCTGTGTCTGGGGGGGGGGAGCACCTGTGTGCATCCATGAAAGAGAGTAAAACCCCATACAGCCAAAGGCCCTCTCTTTTCCTCATGAATGGTTAACCTGCTCTCACTGAAGAGAATCAGTTACACCAGGCTGGCAGCTACAATTTCTCATCACACATACACACATGCTACTCATATTCATGACGATTTTAGTGCAGAAATATGGGGTTATACCTGCTCCTCCTCATCATCTTGTTTGAATTTTCCTGTGCATCCTCCTTTTCATTCTTTTCTGTCTGTCCATCTTGTCCCTTCTCCAGCTGAGCATCCAAGCAAGGTCGGAGGTGATAAAGCGAGCCACCAAAGCCCTGCGCCAGCTGGGCGAAAAGAGCAAGAAGAGAGAAGGCGGTGGTGGCAGAGGGCAGGAGGGGACAGACCCAGCAGGGATGACTTTCAATGAGGCTCTAGCGCACCTGCAGCAATCACAGGCCCACCTGGACACTCTGAACCATCCCTTCATTTTGTCACTCAAAGACAGCCAGCAGGTAGGCCTCATCTGCTAGACACTTAGTCCGGTTTACTTTTTAAGAGTGGCAAATGATGTTAAAAAGTTTATAGAGCTCCCAAAGTTCAGTCAATTTCACCTGTTATTCAATGTACTGTAAATGTCAAGTAATGTGGACATAGATACCAAGATCATTTGCTGTGGCACTTCTCAGACGTGCTGTAGCATACACTGTGTTAAGCGATCAGCTCAAGCTCTCAATCTAGATTGTGATGTAAAATATGCAGCTAAATCTGATGGCTTTGTGTAGGAAGCTCAAGGAATTTGCATGCTGCAAAAATAAGAAATATGGATGACTATGTGCTTCCTCACCATAAACATTCAATTTAAATTTCATTCCATCTTCATTAGCTGGATGAACTAGATGATTCTCTGTACTTTTTGAAGTGTATTTATTCAAAGACCATGTAAGAAATTACAATAAATTTTTAACTACTAAACGAGCAGAATTTTTGTTTGGATAAAACTTTGTAATTGTCTACAAGGGACACATGAATAATTATGACGTCCTGCACACACTCTGATATCCTGTTCTTTTGTCTGTCTGTGCGGTCACCTTCATTTGGACATACTGTTTATGCCTGTATAGACTTTGGGCCTGTGTGTGTGTGTGTGTGTGTGTGTGTGTGTGTGTGTGTGTGTGTTGTGTATTTCTGGGGTGGTTCTAAGCTCTTCACAACCTTATGTGGACCATTCAAGGGTAAATTAATGTAGATCTATGGCCTGTTGTTTCAAATGAGCCATGCCGTATGGTCATATATACAGTATGTACACTATCTTATTAAGAAAAGTCACACTGATTTACCCCACTCTCACCTCCCTGTGGCTGACTGGATGTGTGTATGTATACGCAAAATGAACATAGTGGTAGAGAGAGAGGAGGTTGATTTGATGAGTGAAGTGTTTCAATGCAACCATGAAACACCCTTGAAAATGGGTCATTTGTGACCCCCACATTAAGTTAATAATATTTAGCACCTGTTTTATCTTTTAAATGTGAATATACTCTGTAATAGAGAGGAAGATATAAGCTTCACAAGGCAGAGGTTCGGGTCACAAAGTCACAGTCACACTACAGTGTGATTTGTACCTTCTACTGGTGCAACTGGGTGATTGTATTGCTGAAGATATATAAAAAGCATATGAGAACCAGGAAAAAGGAGGTAGCTAAAGAAAGATACAGTAGATACAAGAAGCCTTGTTTGGCTATACTGTTATTCAACACCTGCAAAGAATAGTGGTAAGACTGTCAGCCAGTAGTATTAAAATCTTTCAGTGTTCCTTTGATATTATGAATTACAGTGGTGGGGGTATGAAAGCAGTGCCTGTGATAATTAGTCTTAATGGTAGCATGCACTATTACTGCCATTAGTATCCTTCCATCCAACAATATTCAAGTGTCTCCTTGGCTGGGTTGTTGTGGCACAAGTGTGGACAGAGCTGCTTGAATTTTGCTTTCCCCTCCTGCTTATAAATATATTATTAATATATGAATGAATATCATATATGAATATCAATATCCTGTGTAAGAATATTACAAACAGGAGAGAGGACAATTGGCACCCTTGTTGGAGTCTGATTATTCTTGGCATAATGCCAGGAACGTCTATGTCTGAATACTTACACAGAGAACCTAGATGAAGAGATCATTAGCTATAAAGAATAAGACAATGTTGCCTCAATTAGCACATCTCCATTTAATGTGGATGTGCGTTTTATCCATTAAATGTGGAGTTGCCTCTGTCAGCCAGCCCTGACATAGGGCTCACATATGTCCATATATTTTAATGTTAAATTATGTGCTTAGATTTTTAGGATAAAGAAACATTACATATAACAATTACAGTGTTTTTTTCCCCCCTTAAATATTCACATATCTATTTAAACACAGACTGACTGACACACGCATACACACAACCAAATACCATTTCTAGGTTTAGGTTCTCAGCCCTTTTTATTGGATGAGAGAAAAACAAGCAAAGGAGAGCAAGACAGCAGAGAGGGGTGAGTGGGTTCAGGCCAGTATCGCCCTCTGGGTTAATACCTATAGAGAACCAAGCGCTCGCCAACAAACTTCACTCATTAAGCTTACTACTTCCTTCACCACACTGCACTTCTTTCACTCTGCCCTTTTGTTTTTTTCGGTTCCTCTAAACACTTTTACTTCTTTCCCTTACTTGCTTGTTCTTCATCTGCCATCTTATATTGTTGTTTATGTCTTGGATATACATACTGTGTATATATATATATTTTCCAAGCCTGGAAACTGTGTGGATTGTAAATTAGTCTTTCACCTTGTACCTACTTTTATTTTTGTCTCTGCTTTGCTCCTCTGTTCCAGGAACAGCTTCAGGGTTACGGACAACTTTATGATTTGTCCCGATCTGAGAGGTCAAAAGTACGTGAGCTTGCAGTCACCATGGCAACTGATGGGCAGCCTCTGGAGCGCATTGGAGGGCTTCTGCATGTGGCCGTCGGACCCCTGGGCCTGTCTGTCAAAGCTGTGCTTCATGATGCAGTGGAGAGAGTAGTGGCTGCACTCAGGTATATTTATTGCCAAGAGTCATGTGTCCTAGTCATAGAGCTGGAGCCAGGAGGCAATTAGGTTAGCACCATCAAATTTTGCACCATTACCTAGTTGAAATCACAACATCTCCTTCTCCACACGTCAGAACACTTTAAATTCTACACCTGCCTGAGCAGCTACCGTACATTTTTGTGGATATTGCTGTTGTTTTCACTGCATTATAAATTATACAGTGGCTGGTGTTGCGCTCTGGTAGGCCCCCTGTAAGCCCCGAGTTGTTCAGAAATCAGTTAATAATAGGACAGTGTTGAGGAAAATGACACAGCTGTAGGCTTGTGCAGCATGTGCTAGCAAAGACACCACCCGCTGTGTCAAACATAAAGACAATCTAGTTGTCAGGTTAGTGCATGTCTTTTGTATAAAATGTGTATTTTCAAAACAGCTCGGATTAACAGAAGCATCTATGTCGTCCCCAAAAGCAGGCTCAATGATGTATGTTCTAAAGTATTGAAGACTACCCAAGCACCCCACCTACCTCCTGAACTTGTTATCTGAAAATAAACTGTAGTGCTGAACAGAATCTACAGTGGCAGCCTGTGGGAGTTGGGCTTACAGCTTTTTATTGGTGGGAGAGGTGATTCACCCCGACATATGTGCAGAGCTGCTAGAGTTTGGGACCATGTTACATGCTTGTATTAGCAGTTAGTATGTTGCTTGTGTTTAACATATTCACAGACATAATACAAGGCTTATTTTTAGAGTCGTGTTTAATATGTTTGCCCTTTAAGCCTTAAAGCTGCATCAAATAAGATTGAGCGCAAATTCGGATAAATCAATTAAAAAATTGTCTAGAAGTGTTGTGTTCCTGTTATACTAATCCCCCCCACCCCACCCCACTCTGTTGTCTTCAAACCTTATTTCTTTCCCCCTGTGGCCACTGTTGTTGAAATCTGCACCGCATTTCTTCCACGCCCCTCTTATCTGAGGTTATACGATGCATTCTTCAAACCAGTATGCCTCATTTCAAAGACAAACCATGGAGGTTCCCTGTGCAGCCGAAGATGGAAGTGGACCTGTTAGACCCAGGAGGCCGCACTCTGTAGTACAGAAAGCATGCGAAACCAGGGTTAACATCAGTTTGGCATGTCGGAGGTGGAGAGCATTAGAAGCATCCAGTGGACCAAAACTGGACACGGATGTGGCTTTCCTCCGGTTATTACTGCTGCACTACCTACTGCCTCAACCGGCTCTGGCTGTCATGACCACATGACGTAATTTCAGAGACAGGGCAAAGAGGAGTGAAGGGAGAAGAGGAGAGGATACTGCTTGAGTTTGCGTTGGTTCTCACTTCACTAGTCAAATAGTCAAAAATTAGAGGGAGAAGTTAGTTAATTCAACTTTAAGAATCATGTGTGTTAATTCTGAACAAACTGATGAGCAAGGTTTTACTGACGGGGCCAGATATCAGTGGACCATCCGATTGGCTTGATAAATGAGCGCAATCACCTTAATTATATTCCTGCCTCATTTCCTGCTTCTTTATGACTGCTCAATGGCACATGGTGCAGATATATGGCACCTGCATTTACACACAAACGCACCGGAAAATGCTTGTGCACGTGCACAGACACTCACACATTTGCAGTTGAGTAGGCTACTGGGCACTATTCCTGATGAAAACACACATGCATACTCCTTCTCACATGCACACGTTTTTCCCCTTTCTCTGATTCATTATCTTCTTCTAATTAATGCAGCCTGATACAGATGTTCCCCTACAGATCTCACTCGGCTCTCGCACTGACACACACTCAGTTTCTGCCCATGGCTGTGCGTGTGTTCTGTGTGTTGGATGCAGGATTGTGCGCATGCAATATTCACTGGAGATTTCCTTTCTCTTGAATGTGTCGCACTCCTGGATATGAGTATCTCTTCATGCATTCATGTATGACTGCGTACGTATACAGTGAGTGTTGCAGGTTTTTCTGAAAGCATTTTGTTGGGCATGTATGAATGAGTCGTCCTTGTTTTTGGTTCTCTAAGAGCCTTCAGTCTAGTGCAGCAGGCATACAGCACCTCAAAACTCATGGCCATCTTTTGTTTCTGCGTCTGTTTGCCTTTGAAGAGAAAATGTAAGTGGTATAAAAGGAATAAAGGAAATGTGTTGTCTTTTTACCTTTTCCTGGATCATTTCTATGTTGTCTATTTGTGAGTGTATATTGAACTGAGAGTGTGTTTATGTTTGTATATGTATGCACACAGGCTTAGCATCAAAGTAGAGTTGTGTCAGGGGAAACCACCCTTTTTCTTTCTGTCTTTGTGAAAAATATCTCTCCCCTTGTAACATACAGTGCACGCGCGCGCGCGCACACACACACACACACACACACACACACATACAGTATTGCAGCAGAACCCATGGGCACACCAGGAAGTACACTAATGATGCTGCAGAAAGATCTCATATTACCCATTTCACTGCACCTACTATTATGTGCCATTATACCCATCTCATTTGCACCGTATTTGAAAAGAAAAACCTTTTTATATTAATGTTAAATGATTAAGTTACAGAATATTCTGTTAAATTTTACTAGCACGCTTACAAAGCCTGTGAGCTTATAACACTGGGGATGGGTTCAAATGTTTTTCTGTTGCTTCATGTCTCTAGGACTTTAAATAATTTCATGATGGTTAATTTTTACAAAGCTGCATTTGCTTCAAACTATTAATTTGCTGCCAGACATGTTTTTTAACTAACACAGTCCCTGAGAAGACAAGCTTTGATTTTTTTTTTCTTTTCTCAGTTGTTGTCTCTCGACACTTTCGAATTTGAAATCTCATCTTAATTAGTGTATTAAGTCAGATGATTGTAGTGATGTGGTTTGTTTTTCCAGTGGCGACCCAGATGCCCTGACAAATTACCCACAACCCCTCAGGGTCTTGGAGGCCATGGTGACCGCTGTTCACAACAGTGTCCAGAGTGGGTAGGTTATCTAGATCTCCTCACACACACACACACACACACACACACACAGACAAATCATGCACACTTTACTACACTGACCGGCCACTTTATTAGGTACAACTGTATGCGATTCAGGACAACACTTCCACCTTAATATCTTGTGTTTATGAAGCTCAAAGTGTTTTATTTTTTGGTGAAATTGTCATTAATGTATAAATTCATTTATATGTTTATAATTGAGGTCATAGTTAAAGGTGGTATTGTACTGGACTACATTATACTCAGAGGTGTTCCTAATATTCTGAACCTCTCGTGTATTTAGGACAAGAATATAGAGACACCTCTAAATATAATGAAGTCCAGTTATTCTTGAGGAAATGTATTGCTGTCCTTTATTAATTAAGTTAATAATGATTCAATCCCAACCACATGCATATAATCCAGGTAAGTTGTTCACCTGGCAACCAGTTTAGTGGCTTTATAACATTTTGATAATAATGTCCCTGCTCTTTGTGACTGTGAACCAAACAAACAACAGACAAACAGCTCCTAGTTGTCTACTTTTACAGAGGTTATTAACAAAGTGATGCCATCTTCTTTGCCATCTTGATTAGAGGAGTATTGATCTTCAGTTATATAATCATTTAATGTATTAGAAAAAAGATAAACAATGCCCATCACACTTCCCTAAGCTCAGTGTTGTGTGATCAGCAGCATTATCAGAATTGCACAATATTCACTTTAATATCACAAATGACAAAAAAAGCAGCAACGTTTGAGAAACTGTGTTCAGTGAAATTTTGGCTTTTTTTGTTTGAAAATTGAGAGTTTGTGTTCTAGTTTGTTTGCTAACAAGCGCAATAACGAGAAGTGTGTAGACAAAAGTCATTTGGGTAAGTTTAATGAGCAAGTTTTTATTAGAATTTATTCATTTAGTTGGATGTTGACACTGATTTTTATTACATACAAATGTGGCATTGTTGCAGTCTTGTCAAATGTCTTAACATTTTATTTTGATAAACATTTTTTCGTGTCAGGCTTACGTCATTTTCAGACTCTTTTTTTTTTTAAATAACCTCTATGCCTTAACTCTCTGTCTCCATCCTTTTATATCTGCCTCACTCCACCTGCCTGACTGCTGTCCTCACCCACCTTCCTCAGTGACAGCTCAGTGACCTCAGATGACCTCCTGGCTTGGCTGCGTCCATTTTGCGGTGACTCCTCGCTACCCCTGCGGCCTCGGATCGATGTGCTGCGGATCCTGGAGAGTAACTTTAGCCTCCGAGACAGCGACGTTCGTCTTCTGTTACTCTACAGAACTCAGGCTGTTCTCAAAGACAAACAGGTAACATGCACACATACACGCTTACATGCACACACACACACACACACAGGTATGACTCATCAGCCCCCTCACAGAGTGTGTTAAGTATACATTAGTTGAGAAACAACTTTAATCCCAGGCACTCTAAAATCAGAATGCTAGTACTTGAACTGAAGGAGGCTACAGATGTCTTTTCTCCAAGGTCATAATATGAAGCACTAGGGCATAAATATTGAAATGCTACTAGAAATTGATGAGTGCAGAGAGGAAATAAATGGTAGGAGAACAGGAGAAATAGGGCAGTGAGCACACTAAACAAATGGACTAATTACTCTTTCATTCCATCAAGAAAACCTATATGTTGGCATTCTCATTAAGGATGTATTATGGGCTTTGTGCTGTAAAAAAGGTTGGTGTATTGCTCAGGGGATATTTAAGATATAGTTAATGTCTGATTGTAGCTGTTGCTACTAAAGCAGATAAACTGAAATCATGATTGCTGTCTGTTTAATCCATGAACTACCAGGAGCTGTTTCGAACTGAAAACTCTGTTCATAGTTAAAATCTTTATGAAAGCAGTTAATGTTATTTCTCAGGCAAGAATTCACTCATTCTGTACCTTTTTGTAATTGCTTATGACAAACAAAGGCATTTCAGTTATTAAGTTGTCAAAGACCTCTCTGCAAAAACATATTTATAGAACTAGTAAAGATTAAAGAAACATCTTGGAAAATCTGATTCCAAATGTCAGTCACGAATCTAAATTTGAAAATTGAGGCTTCCAAAAATATTTTTCCCATTTTAGTTTGTAGCTGTATACATGTAATTCTGTATTTAATTTATTAGCTTTTTATAATTGCACCTAACATGAAACAGAATCAATATTATATAAACACAAGGAGTGCAGGGAAAAAGAATACACGAGGCTTCGGATAAGCTCAATAAGACCATGCTAACACACCACGGCAGTAAATCATTATTATATTGAATGAGAGGAAACGTTTTCAGATGTGATTTGGAAAATAAAACAGTTGCAGCAAGAGATGGAGTACTTCAGAAGGTTATTCACAACTGCAAGTGTTCTGGCAATTATGATCCGGCTTCCTTCAGTTTTACTAATGGAGATAAATGCATTTCTTAAATCCTCTCTCTATGTGTAATAGTGTGTATTAAATGTACTATATAGCATCTGTGTTCATGCATGGTGGATATTTGCTTGTATGTCTGCACATGTAGCTCCAATTTTCCCTCTGCAGTGCAGCCTACCTTTGAATGGCTAGATTTTAAATTTCCTGACTGACTAATTAATGGCACTAGCTGGTTAATTAATGTGTAAATGTAGGTGCACAGCCTCAGGCCATTTTCGGCACAGGTAGACAAATGTGTGGCCTGGACTGTTTAACTAATTGGGTGCACTCTCAACATTTGGCAGGCTCTAGTGAAACACACACAAAGGCAGGGACATGTGTGCTCTTAAGGGAGTCTACATTCAAGGGACCAGTTAATTAATCTTATAAAAGAAGTCTTGCTGTAAAAGCAAGACTCATTTCATACTGTATGAAGTGCCGCTTTCTCTTGTCTCTCCCTAAGGCAACCCAAAGGACTTTGAATCCTTAAGGGGGGGGGGGGTGGGTGAAGCCCAATGGCTAATTTGACTAGTCAAAAAAATTTTTATTAGAAAGATTTTTTATATTCACAAGTGTACTGACAGAAATTCAGAGCCCTACACAAACACATCCACATGCACAGACTCTTATTTATTGCATTTTGCCTCCTAATTGGAGCGACACTTCAATATTCCACTTGCTGTTGTTCGGCTGAAAGCAGTGACACAGAAATCATGTTGGCTAGGCTGGCACCGGCCTTAAGAAGAGTCGGCACTGATGGCAGCACGCTGGTGCCCTGAGGCCGTGCTGGAGACTTGGTAGTCCCCCTGTCTGACCTCATCACGTCAGCTTACAGTCAGAAAGAGAGAGAGAAGAAATGAAGGAGAGGGAGGAGGGAAGGGAGTTGGCTGGTATTGTTCTCCCTCCGACCCACTGGTCCCTTAACTAATCAGCACAACTCCCTTCTAACTGTGTCCTACAGGCTACCCAAGAGACTCATACACACTGTATCCATCCGTCATTGTATATTTGGTCCTCCTGTGTAGTACACACATACTTACGCATACATTCACGGGCTGCCTGCTGTGATTTCCATGACAACCGTGCTATCCAAGCCACATTCTGTGTTGAAACTGATACCAGTAGTACGTTTAAGCTGGAGTTTCTCTCGTCTTTGCTTTCCCGCCACTGTCTCCTTACTGTTCTGACAAAGGCATCTGATTAGCACCGTTGTCTCTGATCAAAGGCAGCTGCAAAATAGCTTCTGTTCACTCGAACACGTGCCTGCTGACACACACGCTGCCAATCATACACGTTTACAAGAATTAAGATGCATTTACAGGCACACATTCACAGACATAATGTATGCACCCACTGTTTGCATGTCTAAATTCAGAAAAGAGATGTAATTGGGTAACAAGCTATCTTTTCATTAACCCTTTTTTTCTGTCTCTGATGTGCAAAGTGTGTAACTCCATGGCTCTTTGTGTTCCTCTGTGGCTCTCCTTTTCTGAAAAGCAACAGTACTGAAAAGCCATTCAGGAATAAAATGAGCAAGGTAGAACATATTTCACAAAGCTCTCAGGGACCTTATTTATTTATTGCGAATTAAAAGAAAGGAAGCAGTTTTTTGCCAAAGAGTTTTTTGGAAGGAGTCATTCCATAAATGAGCACAGAAAAAAAAATTGTCAAGAGAGGGAAACATGACAAGTGAGTGAAAGCTGAGTGAACGATAAAAGTAAAAATCCTTCACTTTTGCTCCTACTCACAAAGTAATGAATAAAGACTATTTATCAAACTTCTTTTGACTTAATAATGCTCTTAAATATGAGTTCTGGAAGTCTTTCAAGTCAATTAAGAGTGGATCCTTGATGACTGCAGTACAGAAACAGAGCTGAGCTGTGTGTCTGTTTTTTACAATAATAATACATTCACTGAAGCAGTATAATTAAGAATAAGAGTCGTTTTAGTCTTTAGCATTTGCACATTAGGATGTTGCACCACTTTTTTGCAGTTGTCAGTGATGCAAACAAACAACAAGAATAAATCTGCCTCTGATTTTATTTACAATCGCTGTCTAAGCATCTCTGTTTTGCGCATCATATGATTTCATGGCACTGTACCTTGTCTACCAATAGATTGATGTTCATTCCCCATGTTAATGATTCCCAGGGATTTAAAGATTGCACACAAATTAAATAACTAAAATTATAATTCTTTTTAAGAATGTGGACCATGGCAGCTATACAGTCAGCCTGTATCTCTGATTGGCTGTTCCATCTCTGATTGGCTGTTCCTTCTCTGAGCAAACATGTGATCCGGCATGTGACCACTTTCAGACCTTGCTGCAAGTAGCAGTCATTTGATAAATGCTTCTTAAAGCTCACACTCTGCCAAGAACATTTTTACTTTTAAGTTGGTACTAATGCTAATAATAATGTGTTCTTAAGTGTAGGTTTTAGAAGGTTGTAATATGTAGGCCCTGAACTGTCCTCTTAACATCATCCATCGGTCTACAACAGCTTCTGAGGAAATTGCCTAACAAGATTTGAAATCAGGGCAGAGTAAATGTGATTACCAGGCCCCATCTTTGCCTTATCGCCTTGTGTGCATGCTTCTTGGACAGTACAAGAAATCTGCAGATCCTCATTGTCTGACAGATCTTGTGATCTATTCACATTAGTTGTCAAATCCTCCTCCTCCATCCTGCCTGCCTGCATTTTTAGTTTGCATGTTCCCATCTATACATTCCCCTCTCTATACAATGGCATTTTTGTATTATATACCTAGACAGACAAACACAGCAGCAGATAAATGCTATGATGATGGATGTTGTTTAGCCCAGTGGTGTCCAGGCTGGGTCAGACGGGGCCGTGTCAGTAGAAAGGCCACTGCATGATTCACAGCCACTGTTTGACACACACACACACACACACACACGTGTGTGCACCCAGCAATGATGGATCAGAGGAAAACGCAGAGAGAGAATTAGCGAGAGGAGAGAGCTAATGATCAATCAGGGACATAAAGAGAGACAAAAAGATGATGTAGAAACAGAAAAAGATGACCACAGGCCACTTACCTTCCCAACACGTCACCCACCATCGTCTCCTAAGAAAGGGAGGTATTAATGAGCCCAGTTGAAATGCTGACATTTAGGCAGCAGTTGGGGGTTTGGCCATGATACCAGAGGAGTGGAGTTGGGGGGTACGAGAGGTGAAGCAAGGGATAGATTTTGTGACTTCATTTTGAATAATTAGTCGTAACAGCAGGGCATTCAGATGCCACCACTGTCAACATGGGGGGTCTGTTTTGTTAGTGTGCATGACTATGTGTGTAAGGTGTGCGTATAGCCTTTCTGTTGCCAACAGAAGTAAACTTGAAATTACTTGTTTGTGGCATTTCACAGAAAAGGAAGGGACAACCTAAACGAAATAATTTGAAGATAGTAAATAATGTGTAGAATCCCATGGCAGTGCTATGCCACAACACAGTAAAGGAAGGTGATCATGGTCACTGCATTAACGTCATCACACCTGTTCATTCTAAATGTTGCAAGGAAAACCCACATTTGTGTGTGTATGTGTATGACAAGTCATCATCCATGCTCATCAACAGTGATCACTGATTCATGCGACAAGCCCCAATCCCCCTGTCAGAGTCATAGATCATTTGCTGTGACACACTGTTTTGGTGCTGTGCTGTTTGGCCTTGCAGTGCAGCATCTGTCTAATATGGATGAACCAAACAGAGCAGAGCAGAGCAGGCTGTAGTTACACTCAGCTTCTGGCCTGCAGTGTCCAGACCCCACTTGTTAACTCTGACCTAGCCCTTATTTGCGTTTTCCTGAGGCACTTTCAAGTTTCAGATTTTGACTCAACTTCAAATGAAAATGTCCCATTTATTTCCAAGGGA